GGGCCATTTCGCATCGGCCACATGATCACACCTGTTACCGCCCACCTCTGTCAGAATGTTATTATTGTCTAGCCTGTAGTGGGGTGCTCTATAGCGAGTACAACCCAGTTAGGGTTTGCTATATGTACCCCAACTGCTGCTAGTGAAACCCCTCTCTCCTTTCATTCATTCTTGCCTAGTTCTTCTGAGATGCTATCAGAGCAGGTCGACCCTCCTGGGTCGATCCTGTGGGTGGGCCCACCACCTAATGCTTCCGCTGCTTTACTTCCTGCCGGGCGCCTCGGGCGCGCGACGACTTCTTCCTGCCGGTTTTCTAGGGTTTCGGCGGTTTTCATCCCGCCGTGCGCTCGGGGCGCGCGGCGGTTTTCTGCACGCCGTGCGCCCCGAGGCGCGCGGCGGTTTCCCACCGTCGAAGTGCCCCCCGTCGCCCGTCGAAGCGCCCTCCCCCCGTCGCCCGTCGAAGCGCCCCCGTCGCCCGTCGGAGCGCCCCCCGTCGCCCGCCAAAACGCCCCCGTCGCCCGTCGAAGCGCCCCTGGGACCCGCGCGCGGCCCGTACGGGCTGCGCCAGGCCCGCGCGCGGCCCGTACGGGCTGCGCCAGGCCCGCGCGCGGCCCGTACGGGCTGCGCCAGGCCAGCGCGCGGCGCGGGCAGCCTGCGCGCGCCTCGTCCGTCCCCCTCTCGCCGTCCCCCGCGCTCCTGCCCCTATCCCACCCGTTTTAGGGTTTGGGGATGTAGAGTGTGGGGGTGGCGGGTGTGGGGGTGCCGGTTGTGTGCCCCGTCCCCTCCTTCTCCTCCTCCTCCGTCTCCCACTGCTGCAGCTGCCGCTGAGGGGGGTGGGTGTGTGGGAGCCGAGGGTTTAGGGTTTAAGGGGGGTGCCGTGGAAGTGGAGCTAGGGTGTCAGCAGGGGGTGTGTGAGAGGGGCGTGGGACGGTCGGGGGAGGTTGCGTGGAGGTAGCCGTCGTGACGCCAGCAGCGCCAGTAGTCCGGATGCCCTCGCGCGTTTCGGTAGCCCAGCGAGCCTGCTTCGCCAGTCGCCTGTGGGTCCGTTGCTCCTGTGTGTGCTCGTCGTAGCCGCGGAGCCAGATACTCCCGTAGTCCGGTGCCCTCGTGCGCTCGGTAGCCACTGTGCGCGCCGCTCCTGTTGCCCGTGTGTCTGCAGCTTCAGTCGGCGCCTTTCATCTTCTCGCCCTCACAGTTTCTCCTCCTCCTCACTTGCCCTCTATGATCACATCTAGCTTTGCTTATAATTGTGAACTATTGCTATGCCTGCTCATTGTACTGATTACACCTCACTTTGGCTATGGGGGTGTGTCAGAATGTTATTATTGTCTAGCCTGTAGTGGGGTGCTCTATAGCGAGTACAACCCAGTTAGGGTTTGCTATATGTACCCCAACTGCTGCTAGTGAAACCCCTCTCTCCTTTCATTCATTCTTGCCTAGTTCTTCTGAGAACCTCCTCCTCCCTGCTGACTGGTACGTCAGCCCTTCGTTCCACGTAAGCCTGCTCCGCCCATACGTGCCATCCACCAGCCAACTGCCTCGCAACCGCCCAGCCAGCATGACACGACCACCAACGGAGCCAATCATCACGCCTGAGAAAATCCTAAGCCATCGAGTACGTGACCCACGGGGAGCCCGCAGAATCGAATTCCTGATCCGCTGGAAAGATCGCACGCCCACGGAGGACAACTGGGTTCCCCTGGACAGAATTGAGAATCACCCTGTCCTCACCGAGTACCTGCGAAGCCGCAATTTCCGGGATGTACACGCGCTCTCGTAAGGAGGACCTCCTTAGGGGGGGGGGGGGGGGTAGTGTAAGGAAAATTCCTTTTCCTTACTTCGCGTCCCTGCTCAGCGCGTACAGCACTGTTCCCGCCAACAGCACCCAACAGTAATCCGTTACCACTCGCGACACTCGCCTCGGTACTGTTCCCGCCACTGTTCACGACGCGACCCAACCTCACGGCTCGGTTGGTAACCCGCGCTCCGGACCTTCGCCTCGACAATTCCCAACCACGGCGCTAGGCCCGTCGCGCACCCCATTTTCACACATTACCGTTACCACTGTAGTTTCGCTATATAATCCTTCGCTCATGCCTTCGCTCATTGTACTCTTGCTTCGATAGTGCAATCTTCGTTCGCTCCCTCAATTGCACTCGTAACACTTGGTATTCAGAGCCTACGATCTCTTCTCGGACCGCACCCACACCTTCGCTTCCCCACTATCTCAAGTTTTGGGGGGGGGTAGACGTCTCTCAGCGACACAGCACCGCCGTTCGTAGTGCTCTCTCGTAAGCACGCACGGCCACGACAGAGGCTCTTGCTGAGCTCGCCCGACAACCCCGCCAATGGCCGAATTCAATCTCGCGACCAGGCCCTCAGATTGGTTTCAGGGTATGCTGATGGATCAGCGTGCCCTGCCCAAATTAGTGACCAAATCAGCGTTGGGGGTCAAGTTTATGCTGATTTTGTCAGTGTAAAATTTCATTGCTTAATCATTGCTGAGAAAACTAATTTGCACTCCCTGGGCAGGGCTGGTAAAGTAGCTGTCTAAGGTTCGAAGCCCATATTTGACAGGGCCACTTGTATGTGGCAATGATTCTTATCTTAAAGCCCCATGTACGCGCACCCCATCCCTAACCCGACAGATTTTATTATGCCCGAATCAGTGTGACATCGCAACTTTGGGGGGGGGGCTGATGATTGCCAGTCAGTAACCCGTAGATGTTGTTGCCTTGGAATCGAGAAGTGTTCAATTTTTCAATCTGCTGACCGACAGCTGTTCGACAATCTAACCTGGCAGTCGCTCCATCCAGAAAGTGGTCGACACGTCGACAATATCTGCGCGGTTGAAAATAGTTCAGGCACGAAAGGACGGGGGCTGGGGCTGTGACTGGGAGGGTGTAACACGATGCGCACACGTGATTGGTTCTATTCGTACTGTACGAAATGGGGGAAAATGATCCGAGCAGTGAAATTGTGACTGAAAAGAGGCTCGACATTAAACGCATCAACAGCCCGCAAAACCTACCTGATTGGCAGTTGGTGAACGTTTTGAGGAGAGTAGCGTTTTACGAAGCCCAACTCCCGCGAAATCAGCCGAAATTGAAAACATGGCAGCAACAATATCAACGATCCGTTACCTGCAGGTTCGGGGAATCGCTTGCCCAGCTCACAGTTCGCACAACGCAAAATTGTGACGTTGTGACATTGGTTTGGGATTTGTTCTAGGGCGCGCTCAGAACCAATTGCACAGTTGAATTGAGAGACCCCAACCTTCAGTAACAATCGGAATGAGCGTCACAATTCCAGGAAAACATGACCGTAACCTAGTTTGGACGACATTGCAAACACGCACTGCTTCTTTGCTTTGTTCTGTCTTCCGCCAGCAGGTTCCAACGTCCTCATCAAGGCTAGTTTTTTAGGTTACATGTCCAACCGTTAGTCGTAGCGCCACCTTTCCTAACTTAGCTTTTGATAGTTTAGGCGCCTTCTAGGGTTCCATCAACGGTTTAGGTGCATTGGCTTGGTCGCGGCTCAGCATTTCCTAAGATAATGTATTTCCAAAATTCGTATCCCGCTTTTTTCATGAAAGGGTTTCATGAACGACTAGTCTGACCTAGTTTCCTCGGTTTCCTTCATGCAGGAGCTTCGGTCATCCGTTCTCAAGACATTCCGCCATGTTATACTTAGGGTGTTAGTACTAGATGCGTTTGTTTGGTAGAGCTTTCAGCCTGATCAATCCTTTTAGTAGTTGGTGTTCAGCATCCTTCACTTCATGTACCTCTTATTGATTAATCAATGATTCGACTTTTCATTCTGTTGATGGTGTTCACCTGCGGTTGTGGACGACCTTTTAAGAGTGGTAGAGGATTGGAGAACCATCAGCAAGCATGTAGGAAACGCAGCAGGCATGACGCGAGTATTGATGAGGAAGTTTTCCGGTATGTACGCCAACACCGTAACGATGGATCCGCCGATATGGAGTCCTTACGAAACTCGGCGAGACATGAAGAGAGGGCCACGCGTGCACCTACACCAGCTGCGACGTTCCAATTTCCTAGTGTGGGGGAAGGAGAGGAGATTCCGCTTAGAAATGCTTTCGTAGGTGTGGAGAAGCTGGTCGAACCAGAGGAGGAGAGGTACGATCCAGACAAGGCCTTGATGCTCGCTTTCAATAAGTGCAACGGAGGTATGGGCCTTTCCACGCATGATACCAACTTGATTCTAGCAGTCATGCATGATCGCCGTTTTGTGAAGCCTTCTTTCAAGAACAGAGCTGCCTTGGAGAAGTACGAAAAGCAGATGTTGGCTGAGATGACCGGGATACAGGAGTGGGAGGCTATAGATGTCAGTTTGGGGACCGATGTTAGTGCTACTCTGTACGTTACTTCTCTCGCGGAGGCTGTGAAATCTATGTTTTCCGACCGCGAAAATCATTTGGCCTTTGTTCACAGGCCACAAGCGCTTTACACTCAGGATGGTCAGCGCATTTATGCAGGGCCAGAAACGGGAAACTGCTGGATTGAATGGCAATCCAAGGTTCCTAGAGGAGCGCTAGCTGTACCAGTGATCATCTATAGTGATGCAACCAACCTTAGCAATGATGGGCGAGTAGTTGGGCATCCCGTATACTGCACCCTTGGCAGTATTTCAGTGAAGAACAGATGGCAGCCGCACGGGCACCGGAAGGTAGCTATGCTGCCCCCTCTCACCGGCGTGGATGCCAAAACAGAGGCTGGAAAAAAGTTTCGGCGAGATGTGTTTCACAAGGCAATGGAGCATGTTCTCGAGGACCTCAAGAAAGCCTCTCGTGAGTAAGTTTCAGCCGTGCTATAATCCTATGTCTGCAAATTTTGTAAGCATATTACCATCACCCCATCGCCTTTCGGTTTCAGCCCATCTCACTCACTCATTACCCCATCTCCCCTCCCCCCCCACTTAAACGTCTCCAACATTGTAGTAAGTCAAATCCCCTCACCCATCACCGCATCCTCCTCATGGATCTGCATATATCTCTCGCCTTTCAGCTCGCGTCTAGCACTCGTGAACCCACTTCACTCCCTCATCACCCCATCTCTCTCACTTATCACCCCATTTCCGTCACTCATCACCCCATCTCCCCCACTCATCACCCCATCTCACTCACTCATCATCCCATACACTTCACTCATCAACTCATCTCCCTCACTCATCACCCCATCTCCCTCGCTCATCATCTCATTTCCGTCGCTCATCACATCATCTCCCTCATTCATCACCCCATCTCCCTCGCTCATCATCTCATTTCCGTCACTCATCACCTCATCTCCGTCACTCATCACCCCATCTCCCTCGCTCATCATCTCATTTCCGTCAATCATCACCTCATCTCCCTCACTCATCATCCCATCTACTTCTCTCATCAACTCATCTCCCTCACTCATCACCCCATCTCCCTCGCTCATCATCTCATTTCCGTCACTCATCACCTCATCTCCCTCACTCATCACCCCATCTCCCTCGCTCATCATCTCATTTCCGTCTCTCATCAACTCATCTCCCTCATTCATCACCCCATCTCCCTCGCTCATCATCTCATTTCCGTCACTCATCACCTCATCTCCGTCACTCATCACCCCATCTCCCTCGCTCATCATCTCATTTCCGTCAATCATCACCTCATCTCCCTCACTCATCATCCCATCTACTTCTCTCATCAACTCATCTCCCTCACTCATCACCCCATCTCACTCGCTCATCATCTCGTTTCCGTCACTCATCACCTCATCTCCCTCACTCATCACCCCATCTCCCTCGCTCATCATCTCATTTCCGTCACTCATCACCTCATCTCCCTCACTCATCACCCCATCTCCCTCGCTCATCATCTCATTTCCGTCTCTCATCAACTCATCTCCCTCATTCATCACCCCATCTCCCTCGCTCATCATCTCATTTCCGTCACTCATCACCTCATCTCCGTCACTCATCACCCCATCTCCCTCGCTCATCATCTCATTTCCGTCAATCATCACCTCATCTCCCTCACTCATCATCCCATCTACTTCTCTCATCAACTCATCTCCCTCACTCATCACCCCATCTCACTCGCTCATCATCTCATTTCCGTCACTCATCACCTCATCTCCCTCACTCATCACCCCATCTCCCTCGCTCATCATCTCATTTCCGTCTCTCATCAACTCATCTCCCTCACTCATCACCCCATCTCCCTCGCTCATCATCTCATTTCCGTCACTCATCACCTCATCTCCGTCACTCATCACCCCATCTCCCTCGCTCATCATCTCATTTCCGTCAATCATCACCTCATCTCCCTCACTCATCATCCCATCTACTTCTCTCATCAACTCATCTCCCTCACTCATCTCCCCATCTCTCTCGCTCATCATCTCATTTCCGTCACTCATCACCTCATCTCCCTCACTCATCACCCCATCTCCTTCAATCCTCACCCCATCTCCCTCACTCATAAGCCCATCATTCCCGGTATTATGGGTGCTGCCCCTATTTCACAACAGGGGGATGATTGTAAAGGACCCATACGGTGCTGAGTACGTCGTGTATCCGTTCGTGTATGCTATCGTGGCGGATCAACCTGAGGCTTGCAAACATGCCGGCACTTTTGCTAGTCATAAAGCAAAATTCCCGTGTCACAAATGCTTGGTAAAGACAGAGGACATCAGCAACATGCAAGTCCCCTTGGTTTACCGAACTGAGACGGATCAACGAGCCAAGGTGGAAGAGTTGCTGGCCATCACTGCCCCGACTGCGAGAAATGATGCTTCAAAAGCTATCAGCACCCACCCAGTCAGAGTGAGTGCTTTGATCGGATGTCTGTGTACTGCACCACCCATAGTTGTCCGTGTTTTGTGCTTGTATGCGTTGCAAAGTGTTTTCATGCGCTCGCCAACCATTCTCTCGCACTCATCCAACCCATCTCCATCACCCGCACTTCCATCTCTTACGCTCAACAGTCCATCCTCCTCACTCCCCACCCCATCCTTCTCGCCCATCAGCTCCATACTCCTCCCTTTCCATCCCATCTCTCTCACTCATCGGTCCATCCTCCTCCCTTCCCATCCCATCTCTCTCACTTATCAGTCCATCCTCCTCCCTTCCCATCCCATCTCTCTCACTCATCAGTCCATCCTCCTCCCTTCCCATCCCATCTCTCTCACTCATCAGTCCATCCTCCTACCTTCCCATCCCATCTCTCTCACTCATCAGTCCATCCTCCTCCCTTCCCATCCCATCTCTCTCACTCATCAGTCCATCCTCCTCCCTTCCCATCCCATCTCTCTCACTCATCAGTCCATCCTCCTCCCTTCCCATCCCATCTCTCTCACTCATCAGTCCATCCTCCTCCCTTCCCATCCCATCTCTCTCACTCATCAGTCCATCCTCCTCCCTTCCCATCCCATCTCTCTCACTCATCAGTCCATCCTCCTCCCTTCCCATCCCATCTCTCTCACTCATCAGTCCATCCTCCTCCCTTCCCATCCCATCTCTCTCACTCATCAGTCCATCTCCATCACTCTTCAAGCCATAATATGTGTTTGTGTCACTGTGCAAATCGTGTTATCAATTTTGAACCCACCTTGCCTGTAGGCTGCCATTTGGGGTTTTCACTTGGGAGGGACTGTAGTCGGAAATCCCTACCGTGCACTGCTTGTGGAAGTCATGCACGCGCTAGACCTCGGCATCTTCATGCACATCGTGTCATGCATTCGAGTCATGTACAAGGATGACACGAAAGTGTTGAAGGCTCTTGACAAGGCCCTGCAGGATCTGGGTGATGCAACCCGCATCTCGGGATTCCGTATTCCAAAAAAGGATAAAGGCGGCTATTTTTCTGGTGCTGCGAAGTTCCAGGCATTCGAGCACCGCGCCGTGATGCAGGTCGTAACCATCGTGCTTGCTGGCATAGTGGATCAGAAGATTGTCGATGCAGTCGCGGCGTTTGTGGACTGCTACATGCTGACATGCAGAAGATGGTATCACACCGACGGCACGTTGTCCGAACTCGACAGTGCCATCAAAAAGTATGGACGCATCTTCAAGCCTCGCTTTCTTTTCCTGCCCCTATTTGTCCATCCTTGATTGCCCTTATCCTTTCTTGTTTACCACTCAATTCTCCATGTTTGTCTCACTCTCAGTGTTTCCACCATCCTCTCTATGCTTCTCACATCACGTCAGACCCTACTACACTCTCCTCCAGCCTCACAATCCATCCATGGTTCGCCCTCTCCTCTCTCTCCAAACCCCCTCGTTTCCCCTCTCTCCTCTTTCACTACTCTCTATGTTTCCTCCACTCATACCGACCCTCCGACTCTCTCGAACCCTACTTCTCCATCCCTCTCTGTTGCTCCCTCCTCCACCCGCTCATACCATCCCTGCTTCGCCCACCCTTTTTATTCACTCCCTACTTGCCTATCTCCTCTCTCCACTTCTACCTCCCTGCAGGTCCCCCGTCCTCCTTGGCAACTCCCTGCATAGCACTCGCTCAGTTGCTATTCCTCCCTTCAGCTCCCTCCCTCACTTGCTATTCCTCCCTGCAGCTCCCTCCCTCACTTGCTACTCCTCCCTCCAGCTGCCTCTCTCACTTCCCATTCTTCCTCCCTGCAGCTCTCTCCCTCACTTGATATTCCTCCCTGCAGCTCCCTCCCTCACTTGATATTCCTCCCTCCAGCTCCCTCCCTCACTTCATATTCTTCCTCCCTGCAGCTCTCTCCCTCACTTGCTATTCCTCCCTGCAGCTCCCTCCCTCACTTGCTACTCCTCCCTCCAGCTCCCTCTCTCACTTCCCATTCTTCCTCCCTGCAGCTCTCTCCCTCACTTGATATTCCTCCCTGCAGCTCCCTCCCTCACTTGATATTCCTCCCTCCAGCTCCCTCCCTCACTTCATATTCTTCCTCCCTCCAGCTCTCTCCCTCACTTGCTATTCCTCCCTTCAGCTCCCTCCCTCACTTGCTATTCCTCCCTGCAGCTCCCTCGCTCACTTGCTGTTCCTCTCATCCGCTCCCTCCCTGTGTACTTGCTATTCCACCCTGCAGCTCCCTCGCTCACTTGCTATTCCTCTCATCCGCTCCCTCCCTGTGTACTTGCTGTTCCTCCCTGCAGCTCCCTCGCTCGCTTGCTATTCCTCTCATCCGCTCCCTCCCTGTGTACTTGCTGTTCCTCCCTGCAGCTCCCTTGCTCACTTGCTATTCCTCTCATCCGCTCCCTCCCTGTGTACTTGCTATTCCTCCCTGCAGCTCCCTCGCTCACTTGCTATTCCTCTCATCCGCTCCCTCCCTGTGTACTTGCTGTTCCTCCCTGCAGCTCCCTCGCTCGCTTGCTATTCCTCCCATCCTCTCCCTCCCTGTGTACTTGCTATTCCTACCTGCAGCTCCCTCCCTCACTTCCTAATCTCCCTCCCTGCAACTCCCTCGCTCACTTGCTGTTCCTCCCTGCAGCTCCATCCCTCACTTGCTATTCTTTCCTGCCGCTCCCTCCTCACTTGCTATTCTGACCTACAGCTGCCTCCCTCACTCGCTATTCCGCCATGCCGCTCCATCCCCCTTCAGAGTGCTGCACTTTTTCGCCCTCTATCCTGTCTTTGTTGTTTGCACACAGGCTAATCCCACTCTTGAAGGAGGTGTTTGGTGATGCTCAAGCTTCAGAGTTCAATATCACCAAAGTTCATTCATTCGCACATGTCGTTGAGGACATCCGTCGCTCCGGTGTACCTGTTCATTACAACGCCAATATGTTTGAGTATTTGCACCAACCACTTGTGAAACGCGCTTACCGCGGAACAAACAAGCGGGATGCTATGCCCCAGATTGTGAAGCATACTGTTCGTGCCCAGATGCTGCGTATTCTAGGTGCATCTGACGACAAGGCAGAGGATGGAGCTCAACGAATGGTCGCCCTGCAGCAGGTGGGTGCACAACATCGAGAAATCTACCACATATGCTCAACCATGTTCGATATCCTTCTATAATGATGTGCATGAGCTCATGATTATCAACAGGACTAGGCAAGAATGATGCATTGAAAGAACAGTTGGGTACAAGTAGCTAACCCTAGTTGGGTTTGTACCCTGTATTGGCTACCCCACTACAGCCTACCCACATATAAATAACACATTACAACTTAACACACCCCCATAGGCAAAGTGGGGGAGAGCAAAGGGTCACAAGACCAGTCCAGCAAAGCAAAACAAGCCCAGGGTGGATCACAACGTCACCACACTCCGAGCACAAGCAAAGGCCACAAGGCCAGTTCACATGCAGTGCTAGATATAGAACAGGACAAACAGCAAGACATATATAAAGTACAGTACAAAGAAAGTCAAATAGTAAGCAAATGAGGAAACGTGGACACAAGGCCTAAAGAAGTACAGTGCCGCTGATGATCACTAGGCGGGAGCGCCTTGGTGAAGATATCAGCAGTGTTGGCCTTCGAGTCCACGTACACAAGCCGAAGCTGACCGCGCTGCTGAAGCTCTCGAGCAAGAAAGTAGCGAAGAGCAATGTGCTTCGTCCTGTGCTCCAGTCTGTGCTCCTGACACAAGGCAAGGGCCGCCTTGTTGTCACCGTACAGAACTGGAGGAGAACTAGGCCGCTCTCCCAAGTCAGTCAGCAGGTAGGTGAGCCAGCGTAACTCCTGTGCAGCCATGGCCGTGGCGTAGATCTCAGCCTCACAACTAGAGCCGAGAACAGAAGAAGAGCGGGTGGACCGCCACGAGACAGAACCAGAGCCAAGGCTGAAGGTGTAACCCTGTGACGACCGCTGCGTAGCCAGGTCGTCCACCCAAGAAGCGTCCGAGTGACCAGTGAGGACAACTCTGTCGCGTCCTCCAAGCACCAGCCCCATGCCTGATGTACTGCACAAGTAACGCAGCACCCTCTTAGCAGCCTCCCAGTGCTCTCGCCTGTGTCTCCCAGGCGCAACGTAACGAGCAAGGATGCTAAGAGGGTATGCGAGGTCAGGTCGCGTGCAAGTCATCAGGTACATGAGGCAGCCTACAAGCTCTGGGTACGGGCCACTCGGCTCTACGGACTCGTCCGAAGGTGGAGCTGAGAGCGAGTGGCTGGTAGCCAGAGGTGTGGCCTGTGGTGAGGAGAACTGGAAGCCGAAGCGCTGAAGGACCTGCTGCACCATGTGTGACTGAGTCAGGGTGATGGTGCGGCGTGCTCTGTCCCGGGTGATCTGCAAGCCAAGGTAGCTACGCAGCTCACCCAGGTCAGTGCAGGTGTGTCTCTTCTGCAGCTCCGACTTCACACGAGAGAGTGCCTCAGTGTCAGCAGTAGCAAAGACCAGGTCGTCGACGTACACGAGAATGTAGAACGGCGGCAGTGACGTGTCTGTGCGCAGAAACAGCGACGGGTCAGCAGTAGACGGCGCGAACCCAAGAGCCGCAAGTGTAGTCCTCAGTGTGTCGTGCCACTCACGCGGCGCCTGGCGGAGACCGTAGACTGGCCGGCGGAGGCTCCACTGGGTACCAGGAGGAAACGACCCAGTAAAGCCAGGTGGGCGGCGCAGCCAGATCTCCTCGTGCAGGCTGCCCTGCAGGAACGCTGTGCTGAAGTCAAGAGAGTGAAGCTCGTAGTCACGCTGAGCAGCAACGTGCAGCAGAACCCGAAGAGTGGTCATCTTCGGGGTGGGGGAGAAGGTCTGGAAGAAGTCGACCCCCTGACGCTGACTGAAGCCTCGTGCAACGTAACGAGCCTTGAAGACAGGCGGAGAACCTGGCGGCCGCTTCACCCTGAAAATCCACATGCCATCGACGATGTTCGCCCCAGGAGGGGGAACCTCGTCGACGTAGGTGCCTGTGGACTTCCAGGATGCCATCTCTGCGTCCATGGCTGTCTGCCACTGAGAGGAGTAGGGACCCGAGATCGCCTCTGCGTAAGTGCGCGGAGTGGGGATGTCTAGTGCATCCGGGTCTCCCTCAGGGGCAAGCAACCAGGCCACGAGATGAGGTACAGCAGCCGCAAGAGAGTCAAAGTCCTCCTGCCTGTCCTCAAGGACGTCCGTGCCAAGAGCACACTCACCCCCGACGGACGGAGGACAGACAGACTCAGACTCAGCAACAAGACTGGTGGCGTAGTCTAGGCGACAGGCAGCAGCAAAGTCGACAAGCTCAGCGACCAGGGCAGACGCAGCAGAAGACTCAAACGACGGGTCAGTGACAACAGTGGCGAGAAGACGCGTAACAGTAGGGTGGGCAGCACGAACACTGTCAGACTCAGGGTCGGGAACGTCAGGAAGAGAAGACGCAGGAGGAGACGGTAGGGGGACACGCTGTGGACCAGTGGAAGGACGAAGTGCCATAATGTGCGTGCCAGGAACAGGAGGAGGACGCGGACGCGCGACACGACGGTTAGGGGGACCAGTGCGAGCAGCGCGAACAGGCGAGGCAGGACGAGACGCAGGCTCACGACGCTCCGTAAGCGAGTCCGGCTGTGCAGTGTAAGGCACAGGAGCAGGGAGGGGGGAGCCAGGCTGGAGGGGAAGGCCAGTGGAAGACGGGAGGGAAAGAACCTGGCGAAGCACCGTGTCAGGCGGCGGCAAAGCCGACGGCGACGGAGGAGCGAAGAACAGGCGCGACGGCGGAGCTCCGCCAGCACCTCCAGCACCCGCAGCACCAGAAGCACCAGGACCAGCACCCTCCGCCGCAACACCCCCCGAGTCGGCTACGTCAGCACCAGAGGCCCTAGCAGCGTCAGAACTCTCCCCGCCAGCACCTCCAGAACCAGCAGGACCACCGTGTCCAGAACCGTCAGCTCCAGTGTCGTCAGCTCCAGCAGCTCCAGTACCGCCAGGAAAAGCACTCCCAGAGCCGGCAGCTCCAACTCCGCTAGCACCGCCAGCTCCAGAGTCCCCAGCTCCAGCAGCTCCAGTCTCAGTGCTCCCAGAACAACCAGTCCCGGCAGCTCCAGTACCCCCAGTACGAGCACCTCCAGGACGAGCAGCTCCAGCACCCCCAACTCCAGCCGAGCCACGAGGACGGCGAAAGCGCCGGACGTACCAGTCACGAAGCTGCTGCGGTGTGAGAGACTGCTCAGCACCCCGAACCGGAGCACCCCCAGACGCAGCAACCCCAGGCTCCG